TCAATGCTGCCCTCGGGCAAGACACGATTCCCACGAGAGACAGCCCAAAGGCGCACTACTTCTGCATGGGCGTCTAAGGCTGGATCGGCAAAGCCCTGCAGTGCGAGGTCCGCAGTGGCGGATCTGCGCTTGCCTGTACCTGGCCCTGCATGATATATGGTCCTATTCTGCTGGGTCTGGCCAGTGCTCAAACCAACCGCAGCAATGCCGTGATATACTGTGGGGCGCAGGTTCGCGCAAACGATGCCCGCCGCCCTGGCATCTTTTTTTTTTTTCTGAAGACGCCATGGACAACGGGCCTTGGCCATGGCTGCCTTCGGCCTGGCATTCAATACTGGGCGACTCCGACGCCCCCTGCGCAGCTGCAAGGCAACTAAAAAGCGTTGCACTTCTGAAAAGAAGCTTGCGGTTAACCAGCTCGCACGCCATCTTAATGCCCCACGAGAGAGAGAGAGAGAGAGAGAGAGAGAGAGAGAGAGAGAGAGAGAGAGAAACAAAGAGAGAGAGAGAGAGAGAGAGAGAGAAAAAAAGAGGCAGAGCGAGAGAGAGAGTGAGAGAGAGAGAGAGAGAGAGAGAGAGAGAGAGAACGCTGACATACCGCGTGCAACTGCGCATGCTGCCAACGCCCCCCCCCCCCCCCCCGCGCCCCATGCGCCGCGCGCGCTGCTGACGCGAATGAGCGCGCGCGCCGCGCATGTGAGGGCGCGGGCGGCGTCGGGCCTAATTCGCGCCGTGCGCGCGCCGAAAGGAACGAGTGAAGGTGCGCGCGCATGTAGTGAACAATCCAGCAGTGCGGCTCACCGCCGCCCGGCTTCGGTAACAAACTCATCGCGCACGCAGCCAGGATGGGGGGGGGGGTCTCCCCGCGCGCAAGACTGCTCTCCATATGCCAAACAGCGCGAGAAGAGCCATGTCTGATGAGGAAGCATCCCGTCCAGTCCGATAGCTTTTCGTGCTCTGTATGTCCGGAAAATCTGTCTGTGGCGCACCAGTGGCGGCTGAGGCGCGGGTGCAGTGACAGCTGGGTGCGCAGGGGGGCAATCGGCACGTCCTGGCAGAAGAACAGCGGGGGCGCCTGCCAGGTTCCTGGGGGCCATGCCAACATTCTTCACGTGCCTTGGAGCAATGTTCGGGGGTGCCGATGGGGGGCGTCAGGGGTCGGTGTAGATGCGGTCTTGGAGGCCGCCCAAGCAACTGAACCCTGTGCAAACGTGCGCGCGGCAGAGCCCCCGCGCTGCGCAGACTGTATTGCCCAGGAAATCCAGGACTGATAACGCTTAGCTGAAGCCACCCGCCCATTATATGCAGTCATCGCAGCCAGGGCATTCCGAAGCCGCTCGATAGTGCCGAGACCCAGGGGGGCCAGGGCGATTGGCAGTCTAGCGCCGCCTCGGCCTATCCGGGGGAGGGCCCCCTTCGCGCGGCGAGGGGGGATGTCTGCGCGAACCATTAGCCGCCCGAGTGAAGGCTTGCCGGGGCTGCTTTCCAACGAGATGCACGAGGGCCCCAATGGATTTCGAGAGATGCCCCCAGAGCTTCCTTTCGCAAGAAATAGCCGCGCCACCGGGGGGGGCGCGACGCAGATATCCGAGTCGCGATGCGAGCCTCGCCCCGCCTGCTATGGACCTGAGGGCCAGGTGGCTGGCAGAACCCAACCAACTCGTCGGCCGAAGTCCCCGGCCAAGCAGACGTGAGACATTCAAGGTCAGATGCTGCGCCCACTTGATCGGGATCTGGAAATTCATCCCAGGGCGGGGGGCAGGAGGCGCATCCAACGGGCCTCTGAACTGGCGCGAGAGGAGGGCGACGGAGAACATATACCAAATCAGAACGCACATTGCCGCGTGGCGTCAGAGCAATTGGCTGGCGCATGGGGATCAGGGGCGTTTCCCAAACCTGGCGGGTAGCTGCTGTTGCTAAGACTGGGTGCACGACGAAGTAGACTATCCACGATTGGGCGCCTGTTGATTCGTAGCCGCGGCGCCCAGGTGCCGCAGCGGCGCCATCTAGAAGCGATGGGGGCCCCGTGGCCTGCAGCTCGTTGGGTGCATATTCCAAGCAACAGAAATCGCGAAGGGGGCGCCCATGGTCCGCATCGCAGCTGCTACCTGTAAGAGGAGTTGGGCGTTCCGATCCTCGGTGCGTTCGCCTGCATGCATGTAAGTCTTTGCCCTCGGGACCCCGGCGTCGACTACCCCATGCCAGAGATTGTTGATAAACCGCCCCAGATGGGGGCATGGTGACAGAAGATCTGGCGCACTGCGATGCTCAACCAACGCCAGAGCTCAGCCCGCCTTTAGCCGCGCAGACAGACGGGAGCAGGTGAGCGCGGCAATCATGCTTGTGAGCTCGGTTGACTTCGAGCTCAACTGATTCAGCAGAGCGACGGAGTTCCTGAAAGCCAGCGGCATCCAGTTTGTCTCCAACAGCCTGCGGGAAGGGCGCAGCATGTGACCCGGGGGTTATGTTGACCGTCGCTAGGACCCACTCGTGGCGAGGCTTCTTGACGAGGGCTGACTTGCCAGGAGGGGTCTCGTCATCACTAAAACTGCCGCGGCAGCGCGGAGGGTGGCGCAAGCGCAAATCCGTCAGAGGGTGCAGACTTACCGCGTCGCTTCCCCTGAACGATACTAGCGTGCGTCATTGGGTCCGAAGGGGCCGCGCCAGCGGAAGTCGCGACGTCGGCGGTCTCGGCGTCGGCCATGTCTGTTCCATCCGACTGATCGACTGCAGCAGAGACACCTGGGGGGTGGCATGGCAGGACGTTGCGGCGGCGGAGGCAGGGGGGGGGGTGCGTCCAGGCCCAACTCCCATCTTAGACTGCCCACCTGTGGAATCAACGGTCACGGGCTGGGCACGAACGGGTTCGACTGACTTGGCCCCGAGGGGCTTGGTAGAGCTGAACACGAAGAGCTGCTGGACAAACGATGCCCTGAAGGTGGTGCAAAGCCTGAGGCAACTTCTTATCTTTCTGGAGGTGGCCTTGGAGGTGGCGAAAGCCTCGGTGAGCGCAGAAAGAACAGTGCTTTCATCCGAGTCCAGAGATGCTGGCACCGATGCTGAAGCCTGTCCTCCCAAGAAGCCATGTCGCGTGCAGTCTGCTGCTGCGTGGTGACCAGGGAGACACGGTCAGCCTGCAGGGGCATGATGGACTCATCCATCTCACGGATCTGATCAGTGAGCTTGTCGTATTTCTTACTGGCCCAGTGACGACGCTGTTTGTGTACCGCGCGCTTCTGGGGAATGGTAAGCATCTCTGCTTTCTGAGCCCGAAGTAACTGCAACTCAGCCTGAAGACCTGACATGCGTGACGACATGTGCCTGGTCGGTGGGAGGGCCATATACGCATCCAACTGACTCTGCAGAGTTTGTATTATCTTATCCATGCCCGCAACCGTAAGCTCGTTGCTGTTGGCATCAACGCCGGGGCCGCGGTCATCGTCGTAGTCGTCGTCGATCTCGTCGCGATAGTCCGCCCAGAAACCACGATTGCCGCCCTATCCGAAACGATTCTGCACCAGCTCATCCAACGGGGCATGAAGACGCTCATCGAGCGATCGCAGGGGCGGAATGCGTGGGGAAGAGAGCGTGGCAGGCAAGGCTGGGATGGGTCCCTGCGAGCGCGATCCCCTTTCTTGTCTGGTTTTCCTCTCGTAGCCTGTCCTCTAGACGCCTCTAGAACTGTCTGGTTTTCCTCCCGTAGCTTGTCCTCTGGAGCGGCCAGAAAAGGGAGTCTTACAACATTTACACTTCTGTCGGGGGTTGGTGTCGGGTATCCAAGAGACTTTCCCAGCATCGCGGCAAGTTGAACACACAAGATATCCATTCCCCGCGGCCGCGCGCGGACGCGGTCGACTGTCGACCAAGGGCGGGCTCTCGAGCCTGCCCTTTGGCAAGCGACCAAACTCCAAGCCCCAGGGCAAGGTTTGGAACTTTAGCCAAAATGGATACGGAAACGATCAGAAGAAACTTCGGACACGGACAAAAATCGTGCCGGATCGGGAAGGCCGTGGGCGACGCGGCGCTCACTCCTCCACGCCCGCCCCGCCGCCCCGCCCTACCTGGTCTATCCCCTGCCATCCCTGCTCCCGCCCCGCCATCCATCTCTCCTCCCTCTCTGCCCACTTCGCCCTCCTCCTGCTCCCTCGCCCCTTCCTCCTCCGCCCCCGCCCCCCCTCCCTCAGTTCCCGTTCCTGCTCCTGCTGCTGCTCATCCTCAGGGGAAGGGGAGGAAGAGGATGGAGAGGAAACGGGAGAAGGGACACGAGGGAGGATTAGGACGCTGAGCAGGAAAGGGGCAGCAGGCGAACAATAGCTAGAGGCACAGGCATGGCCTGGAGAAGCGAAAGGAGGAGGATCAGGAGAAGGAGGAAGACGCGGAGGAGGAAGAAGAAAAACAATGAAATAGCTTAGTTCGAAGGGTTAGGAGGATGGCAGAGGGAGGGAAACAGGAAGATGACAGCCAGCCGAGAGGGAAGTGGAGGAAGACAAGGATGGCGAGGGGCTCGGCTCTTTTTTTACCTCTGCCTCTCTGTCGCCTTCTCTTATCCTGCTGCGCTCACCTGGGTCTAATTTGTTGGCCACAGCGCCTATGCCGAGGTTGTGATTTCGCCATGCTGCTAGTTTACCCCGCTGACGCTACGATTCCAGACGATGAAAGTTTGCCCGAAGTATAAACAACATCCTCAGATCCTAGGTTGCGAAAAACATGGCGACATCGCAACAAATCTCAACCGGAGCTCCAGACCCCATCTTTCTGTTGCATTTTTTGAGCCAGGTCAATCTGTGAGGGTCCCGGGGGCCCGACACCCTGCGAAACCGCCGTGTGAAATTTTGCCACGCTCAACTCAGGGAAGGGCGACGAGGGAGGAAAACAGCGATGAGGGTAAGGAGAACGACGGCGGCGGCGGGACGAAGGGCGGGGAGCACGAGAGAACGGCGATCAGGACGATAGCGACGAGGACGATAGCGACGAGGACGACGAGGAAGACGAGAGCGCGCCTTGGCATCAGCGGCCGGGGATCCGCGTCGAGGCGGGCGTCCCCCGCATCCTGCCGCACGTGCGGCGCCGTGGGCGTCCGCGGGGGGGGGCCTCGTCGTCGTCGTCGTCGTCGTCGTCGTCCTCTTTCTCCGACCTCCAACCTCCTCCTCCTCCACCTCCTCCGCCTGCTCCTCCTCCTCCTCCTCCTCCTCCTTCCCCTCCCTCATCTTCAACGTCGCATACTTGGTCAGAGGCTGCCGGCGACTGTCCCACGTCGAAATTCCTATGCCTCCTTTCGCGAGCGTGCTTCTCTCCTCCTCCTCCTCCTCCTCCTCCTCCTCCTCCTCCTCCTCCAGGCCGGGTCCGCCCCACCGCGGTATCTGATGTATTTGGTGCGAGATCCTCAAAGGAAAAGTTCCGAGACGTCCTGGGAAAACGGTGGATCGGTTTTCGCCTCACGGGGGAGAGAAAATGTATGGCCCCAGAGGAACCGGTACATGTTTGATAACAACTCCTCATCCTTCTCGGCGTCATCCACCATCATCATCACCAACACTGTCGCTACCACTGCCAGCATCGTTATCGTATCTTCCCCCTCCTCCCCCCGCACCTCCTCCTCTCCCCCTTCTCCCCATTCACGTTCCCAACAAGCTCGCTGCTCCTCCTGATCGGTATCTTCATTATCCTCCCTTCACTGTCCCTCAAACCGTTTGGACCCAGGTATTTTGCAGGGGCCAGCTCCTGTGCCCGCACGAGGCGCTACCTCGGTCGACGACAATCTCGTCGAGGCCATCAAGGGCACCAGGCGATCCCGAGCTCAAGGACTTGCTCGAGGCGAGGATCGAGGCCCTCCAGGGGCAGTCCAAGTCAGGCGCTGGATCTCTCAGTGGCGCGACCAGCTACCAGAGGGCGGACAGCCACTGGCGGGACCGCAAACACAAACGTGACCAGGCGGTGGCCAACGCTCGAAGGCTACAGCTGGCTTTGGACACAGCGACGGCCCAGGAGCAGACGTCGGCAGAGTCCCTAGCCTCGGCCACCCTGGTTTGGACTCAAGGTGCGTCGCCCCCGTCGGACGAGGCATTCTCGGTCATCTGTGACTCCAACATCTTCGGTGGCATTGATAACTTGCAGTGCGAAAGGGCGGAGAAGAAGGAGCGTCGCCAGATCCGCGCCGATCTTATTAAGATCAAGGTGTCCTACCAAACCAAGAACAAGAAGGTCAACACGTGGATGGACAAGGCTGCGACGGACATCGACTCGCGGCTCGCCGCCAAGATAAGGCGCGTCGACGAGGAGAGCGGCGCTGAAGCTGCTGCTGCTGGGTGGTCAGGAGCCGACCACGGTGCTGGCGCCAAGGAGGCCAGTGCGCCCGAGACGACAGCATCGTCGGCTTCGGCATCGGCGGCGGCGGATGCGCAAGCCACCTCCTTGACTAAGGAGGTGGCAGCCAGGTTCTCGGCGACCAAGCTTGTCACAGAGGCCGATCCCCAGGAGACACAATCAAGCGCGACACGGGCCGTGAAATTGCCTCGGACACAGGGGATGCGAAACTGCCTCAGACATTCGCGCAACAATTTCGCGCGGCCATCGGTACTTCGCGGCGCATTCCCCGCTGGAGCTCGCGCAAAGCAGAATCCCACCAGCCCTCTGGGCGCAGGTGGTCTAAGGAACTTCCTCTTCAAGCCCCCGTCTTCCCTTCTGGGATGGGTCTACCCCTCCCCCCCGCCCTCTCCCCTGGACATGAACGGGGGGGGCGGCGGGTAGTTGGAGCTTCCAAGATGGCCCAAGACGGCTTCAAAAGGGCATCAGAACGCCCAAGATGACCTCCAAGATGGCTCAAGATACCTCAGCATGGCTTTCAAGATGCTCCAAGAACCCCCAAGACCGCTCCAAGACGGCTCCCAAAGATCTCCGAGACCTCCAAGGAGTTCCCCAAGATGCCAACATCCTTCAAAAACCTTTAGGGAAATCAATGTTGTTTGCCTTCTCACCTTGTCACTTCTGATGGCCTTCCGAGGCCTCTAGATGGCCTGCAAATGGCCCATGAGAGCCCGAAGAGAGGCCCAAGAGAGCCCCAAGACGGCCCCAAGAGCGCCCAACGGCGATCCCAAACCGCCTCACGAGGGGTCCAAGGACACGATTTTCGAGGCTTCAGCGGGGCAGCGCTAATTTTGGACCCCCCCCTCCTGTCCTCCGATGTCCTCCAAGATGGCCCCAAGAGCGCCTCTGAAGCCTCCAAGAGCGCCCCAAGAGGGCACCCAGAGGCGCCCAGACGGCCGCAAGAGGCCTCCAGGAGGCTCCCAAGAGACCCCATACCAGGCCTCAAGGGGATCCACGAGGTACCCGAATCCTCCCTCCTTCTCCTCCTTTTCGTCCTCGTCGTCCTCGCCCTCCTCCTCCTCCTCCTCCTCCTCCTCCACACGCCCCAAGAGGCTTCGAAGAATCCTCTAAAGAGGGCCTCAAGAGGCCGAAATCGTTGATTGTCATTGGTTTTTGACAAGTTTTTGGCTTTCTCGCCTTTTCGGACTTCCGACGCTCGAAGACGGCCCAAGAGACCCCCAAGACCACTCCTAGACGGCCCAAGAGGCCCCCAAGAAGGCCCCAAGATGGCCCAAAAGAGGCCCCAAGACGGCCCAAGAGGGCCTCAAGACAGCCCAAGAAGGCCCCAAGAGGGCCCCAAGAAGGGGACCACGAACCGACAATTCTAGCTTTCCGCCCCAAGAGGCCTCCGGCAGGCTTGAAGAGGTCCCAAACGGGGCCCAAGGCCACCAAGATAAACCCAAGAGGCCCAAAAGAGGCCCCAAGAGGCCCCAAATCAGCCCCCAGAGGCCTCCGAACTGCCTCGGGCAGGCCCCCGAGAGGCTTCTCACGAGATCCCAACGAACATCCAAGAGGCCTCTGAATCACATCCCAGGCTCGGTGGCGGGATGGGCCAAATGGCCACTATATATCCGCCGCCCCTTTTGATTTATCACAAGGGGTGCCTGGCGTGCCAAACTATATGGTTTTGGTTTTGGTTCCTTTTCCAAAAGAACTCCCCCTGGGGCTTCGTCACTTCCCGCCGGCCACCCGGAAGAGGTGGTTGCTAACGGTTTTCCTGCCCCAGACGGCCCCAAGATGGCCTCCAAGACGGCCAAGATGCCTCCAAGACGGCCAAGATGGCCTCCAAGACGGCCCCGAAGCGCACCAAGAGGGCCCCAAGTCGGCCCAGAAAGGCCCCCAAGACAGCTCCCGACGGCGTCAGACGTGCCAGGAACCCACCAAGATGGCCGAAGTTGGCTCGAAGCTGGCCCAAGACGGCCCAAGAGGCCCCCCAAAAGGGCCTCCAGGAAGGCCAGAAAAAGGCAAACAACATTGATTATCTTAGGGTTTTTGACGGATTTTGACATTTGCTTCTTTTCGGTCTTCCGACGGCCCGAGACGGCCCAAGAGCCCCCAAAGATCGCCGAAAGATCGCCCAGGAGGCCTCCAAGATGGCCCCAGAACGGCCCAAGAGGGCCCCAAGACGGCCCCAAGGGGCCCCCAAGACGGCACAGGAAGCCTTTAAGACGCCCAAGATGGCCTCCAAGACGGCCCTGGAGCATTCCAAGAGGGCCCCAAGTCGGCCCAGAAAGGCCACGGCTTCCGACGGACCAGGAGCCCACCAAGACGGCCGAACATGGCCCTAAGATGGCCCAAGAGGCCTCCAAGAGGGCCTCCAGGAAAGCCCGGAAAGGCACACATCATTGATTTCCCATGGGTTTTTGAAGGATTGTGGCATTTGCTTTTTGTCTGCCTTACGACGGCCCGAGACGGCCAAAGTGCCCCCAAAGATCGCCCAAGAGGCCCAGGAGGCCCAAGACACGGCCCCAAGAGGCCCCCAAGACGGCCCAAGAGGTCTCCAAGACGCTCAAGATGGCCTCCAAGACGGCCCACGAGCCCTCCAAGACGTCCTCCAAGAAAGCCCGAACGGGTCAAAACGGCCTCCAGACGGCCAAGATGACCTTCAAGATGCCCACGTGTTCCCCGAAGGCTTTCCAAACCCATTCAGGGAACACATGGTCCGATAGCTTGGCAGGGCTGGCCTCAACGTTCGGCCACATAGGCGCTTCCAAAAAGGCAGGGGGCGGCGCGTCTTCGATACATATCTATCTATCTATCTATCGATCTATATATCTATCTATCTATACATATAGATATAACTACAAACATAAGTCACGCAACATCCAGAAGCCGCAACAGCGACTCTCCCCCAAGGGGTCGGCGGTGCGGCGGGAGCCAAAGAATCACGACGGCCAATTACAACGGAATCCATGGAGTGCAGTGCGCGGCAAGCGGGCCCCTCCGCGCGCGGTGGCGCCACCTACGCAATCAAAACAACCCCCCTCTCGTCACCACGGGTTGGACACTCATGGAGTTTGCGGCAGCGGAGAAGGCCGATCAGCAGCAGGCGGCCGCGGGCGGCAAGGGCGCGGGCAGGGGTCCAGCAGCTGCGCCGACATCGGGGCCTACGGCAGCAGCCGAGGCCTCATCGCACACGTCTTGGCGGTCAGTGCCTGGCGCCGAGCTCGGCGATCAGCATCGCACACCAAGGGCCGCGCGGAGGAGCACACATGCTGTCGTCAGTCGACCCGCATGATGCGACGGATTCCGCCTCCCGTATGCTTGTTTCTCGCGAGTGCCACGCCCATGGGTGTCGTGCTTGGTCGCATCTGTTCCATGCATCAGCCTCGCACCAGTACGTGGGATGCGTTGAGACTGATGCCCCCCGGAGCCAGTTGCGCACGTGGGATGCTACGGCGAGGTTGAAGAAACTACGATTGGTTGTCGCCCCTCGGGTGAGCAAGGTGTAGCCACTGAGCGTTCCGACGGAAGGGGTGGGGCATCTTGCTGCGGGCCACCCCTGGGTGGAGACGCTTGCGGAGGCCCAACTTTCAGGGGCCCTGAAGGCCGCCGAATGCGACGCGCTGGACGGTTTCACGTCGACGGTTTTGCACGTGAGCGGGTTTTCGGTGGTGCTCGTCATTTTCAATTGTTTTACTTCCAAGGGTGGGAGGAACACCCGCAGGTCCCACAGACTGGGAATCC